GCAAGTGTTCATGTTTACCTTGAGGACAGTCAAAGTTGGCTTGAAGTCCCAAGCGTTTGATGATAAAGAGCGCGTCAGTCTTGATCTATCAACTTTTGTGAATAACATTTGTGTTGCTTTAAGTGATGAAATAGCCATACATTGACATTTATCTCATTGTCAAACTGAGTGATTGTTTTAATAAAATATTTTTCATTGCAACAAAACAACTTTAGCAAACACTGATCAAAGGTCACATTATATAGATGTCTTGTTTATTAACTAAAGAGAAGAAGATCATTTTAGATGATGAGTAAATGCCACATCGTGCCACATTTTCTGCACTTCCATCCAGGGGAGAAAAAGATATTCCTCTAGAACATCTGGATCATGCACTCTCTGGACTTTCCAACACCGACCCACTTGACTAAAGAGAGAGAGAAAGAAATAAGGATTAGAAAGCTAGAAGCACACTCAAAGTTATAACAATCAATACTGGAAAAGGCAATCTATAATAGGAGGAATAGGCTTATATAAATGATACCATGCTTTATTTTCATCATGCACAACTACTTTTTTTATTCAGAGGCCTTCAGGGAAAATGTTGACCAAGCATTTAGCTCTGAAAAGAAAATATTCAGATATAAAAGTTTGTTATTTTTTTGTCAGACATACTGGGAACTCCAATGTGGTTCTCAATGAAGCGGATGTAGTTCTGAGCCTTGGCTGGGAGGTCATTCCACTTCCTGGCTGCAGAAGTGTCAGTCTTCCAACCAGGGAAGGTCTCATACTCAACCTCCACTTTATGCAAAACGTCCATGTTGGCTATGATAAAAAAAACATAATACAATTATGAAATCAATATAACCTTTCACTAATCATAGCAAAGGGTTTTTGTGAGTCATATTCTTCCTTACCTGGGAAGTGGGGAATCCTTTTCCCATTGAGTTTGTAGGCAACTCCAACTTTTATTTCATCAAGCACATCCAGGATGTCAAGTTTTGTCAAAGCAATGCTGTATGAGAGGTAACATGTCAGAACTGTTTACTATGCGCTATTTATTAATATTTATTACATGGTGGTGGAGGACAGTATTGCTGTAGGATACATGTGATACTCTATCCAAACATGAAAACCACAAAACACCTGATGAAAAGCTTAAACTTCTCTAGACACTCACGCAGTGAAGCCGTTAATCATGTGAGCGTATCTGACGATGACGAGATCCAACCAACCGCAGCGTCTCTTCCTTCCTGTGGTCACACCCACCTCATGACCCCTTGTCTGCAGCAGCTCTCCTACTGCCTGGAGTGAACAGGGAAATACAGTGCTGCATGTTACTTTATTATTTCTGAGTTTTTATGATGTCAGGCTTCACTAATGAAACCTAAAAATATGCCATCAGCGCCTCAGTTAAAACACACAGCTGAGTACAATAACACATCATCACATGGGCTGGGAGGGGTAAAGTGTTAACATCTTGACCTATGTCCCTATGGTCAGTTCCCGTGACAAGTAACATAACCCCAGCTAGCACAGTAAATATATCCTGAACTCTGGCCCTAAATTTATCCCTGTGCACATGTGATCTGCATAAGAGGTAAAGGGTGTTTCAGCCTGTCTCACACAATTTGACAGCTGCACTCAGCATGAGAACGCCCCTCCCCTCCTTCCCTTCTCCTCCATGCAGGCCCTCTGCTTGTGTGTTCGCCCCATGATCACACACAAACATGTACATGTAGAGCTACTTATCACTGAGTTACATAACATGCTGAGTTGTCTCTTCTCCAAACAACACAAAGCCCATTGAAGCAGAGAAGATACATGAGACTATCTTATGAAGTCACTTGAGACGTTTATAGCTCTTACATTAAGTTGTTCTGTGGGGAAAGCCCCGATTCCCACTCTGGTTGTGTAGGCCTTTGATACACCAAACACATCGCCAATGTTCAGAGGTGGGATGCCAAGGCCGGTGCATGCCCCGCCCACAGTGCAGTTTGATGATGTCACAAAGGGATACGTTCCTGAGGAGAATCATTTTTCGTGTTACTACAGCACCAACTTCTTCCAAGGTCTTCTAAAAAATGTCTTCTCATTTATATTATGATATTTCACGTCATTGTTGCCGAGCCTACCAAAGTCGATGTCAAGGAGAGCGGCGTTGGCCCCTTCAACCAGAATTTTCTTTGGAGATCCATGGAGAGCTTCATACATGTAATAGACCCCGTCTCTAACCATCGGCCGCAATCTCTCACCATATTCCTGCATGACACAAGGAAACAAAAAGTATTTTTTGTTGTAAGTACTGAAAATCATCCATCACTTAGTAGTCAGCAATAGGGGTGATAATCACAGCCTTGGGATGATACCATAAAATATGATACAACACATGACCCATGATTGCATTTATATCAGGAACAAAGATTCTGCAATAATTGATGAATTGTAAGACAATCATAATGAAACATTATGATATCTAAATAACTAAAGATTACAAAATTTCCCTAAAAGGTAGAGTGGATTTGTCAGTTCTTACCACCCTAGGAGTTAAGAAGTAGTGATACTGTGAGTCAAAATTGGAAGTGAAGTGTCATGATTTTTGATTAAAATATCGATATTGAGAGTTAGGTAACTGTATCCCACAAGTCAGGATGTATTTTTGCCACCGCTATAGTCATCAAGGACTACCTTGAGCTTTTTCAGTTGGTCCTCAACGTCAACTGTCAAGGCTGGGTACATGGATTGATACTGGTGGACAAGGTTCTTGAATCTGAAAAGGAGAGAAAATCATAAATCATGTCAGAACTCGACTTTAAAGTGTCGATCTCATTGTTCCCATGATTCCTACCTCATAGAGAAGTCCTTAAAGTCTCCCAGGAGGTCACATACACGCAGGCCAGTGCGGGATGCTTTGCTGGAGTATGCCGGTCCGATGCCCTTTTTGGTTGTTCCAATGCTTTTATTATGAAACACAAGCCAAAAAAGAAGCTTTGTCAAATGACAAGTGGAATTCATGTAGGCCATGCAGGTCTTTGTTTATTGTTTTAGTTTTGTACATCTCCCGCCCTCATTGTCCTCTCTCTACCCCCTTACTTCTTTCCTTCTTGTGCTTGTCTTTCAGTTTCCTGTAAGCCATCTACAACCTGGTGGAAATCAAACACTGCAAAGAGATGGAAAACAAATCTTTAAAAGGCGACCTCCGCACAACTTTGTAAAGGAAACCTCTTTAATTACAACAACTGTACATACCAAGGTGAGCTCTGTCTGAGACGATCAGTCTCTTCTCCCAGCCTTTCAGACCTGGTCAGAGAACATCAATTACATGTAAGCATGTTTTATCTTAGTTTACACTGATGCATGATGTAAAAAGGATATTTTCTCTTTTTAAATACCCTTTTTCTCATTTTTATCTCCTTCCTCAAACAAGCCAGGTAGATGAATGACCACTCCATTACCTATAAGAGCAGAGAGAGGGCGATGTTAAGTATTATCAGTCTTACACTGATTTTTTTTAATGATGCTGTGTGTAAAATACTGAAATCAAAATCTTTACCAATGAGTGATGTGCTTTTAGTGTTGATGATTCCACTGGGGAGAAGGTGAAAGTCATACTCCTTGCCATCCACTACCACTGTGTGTCCTGCATTGTTGCCACCCTGGTAATCACAGCAGTGTTCATTATTATAGCTATAATACACTTTTTTTATGGCAAATTATTAAAAATAAAGATGTTAACACTGAAGATCCCCAAAGAAAATACAGCCACATTTTCAAGTCTTATTTTATTTTCTCCAGATAGTGCTGAGCCACACTCTTCCCAATCCACCGAGCTTTTCCAGCACCTATATTAACACACTTGGCTCGTGCAGATGGATCCTCCGCTCTGATCCCTCTTGGTTAAAACCTGGCCTTCTCACATATCAAGCCACCCTGAGAATGTGACCTCTCTTTCGCCCGGTGGGTGGGGCTCTCAAGCATACAGAACACAGGGTGCTAGACCTGTCAGTGGGGAAAGTACAAGTACAACACAGCAACAGTTGGCAGCTTTCACGGTGTATTCCACTTCTGGCCTGACCTCTGATTTCTGACCAGACACTTGTGTTTGTGTGGGTGTCTGTGCGTTATGCAAGTGGACAGAAATGACCTGTCTGGAGTTTATGCTGAATTCAAAACATTTAATACAATATCTGAATAAGACAGTCACAACTTTGCATTAGACTGAGAGGTGGTTATCAACAGAGAATATTAAACTATGAATCAATATTGTTTAAAGCATCACTCACAGAGGTTTACAGCATTCTGTTAAATATTTCCTTTTCACAGAGGTTCAATCTTTTTGACTCTCAGCACCTGTTGCGTTTCACCAAGCTGCCAGGAAAGAGCCAAACTCTATTGTGAGGTTTTGAATAGGCGACGTAGGAAAAAGGCATTCAGCATTAACACAAAGACACGCCCATACGAATAGTCAGATGAAATCACAAATCACAAGCAGTTACCTGACATCTGCAGACGTAGTCAGCATCAGTCGCCAGCAAGTCGACGACTTTCCCTTTGCCCTCGTCTCCCCATTGCGCACCGAGCACCACGGTCACTTTGTTCCCCGCGTCGTTGCGCGATCGCTTCAGTCCTGTCGCGGCGGTTTGACTCATGTTTTTGTGGTCTTTCGCAGACCAGGTGAGGGACATGGTGGCAGTGGCTTTAGTCCGCCCGTCTCAAGACGACTAGACTGTACCGCAAGAGCGGCAATGCCATATCTGTAACTTCAGAGCCGATGATGTCAGAGCCAGACGCGCGTAAGAGCGACGCTGCGCTCGGCCAAATGTCTCCAAGGCTGTTAGAGCGACGACAATAAAAGCCTTTCCTCACAGCAATCACATGGGTATGTGAATGCACCCTGAGCCACGTAAAGTCAATCATGTATGCTACCCTTTATAATGGGGCTTTTGTATGTGTTGTACAATGCATTATGTTCGCCTCTTTGCTTCATCTGCCTGACAGTGATGATTAAACACAGACAGCCCAACAGTCAATTCACTTTTATTAAAATATATAAACATTAAAAGTTACAATCCTTTAAATACTTTCCTCATATTTGCTGTTAGAGATCATTTGGACAATATATATAAACTTTAAATAAAGACATTACTTTTTTTGGATGATAAATCAAACATCTTGCACCAAACACTACATCTGTCTTTCTTTCTGCAGGTGCTGCACAGTTAATAGAGCTTATTGCAAAACACATTCAATGCATATAACAACAATTGTACAAAACATAGAAAGCACATTTCGCTTTTTTTGTCTCAATCAAAAGCAATCATATTCACAAAAGCGGAAACTCATTTACATAAAGTGACATGTTATAACATCCTCGCTTTGAAGATCCAGGCCATCGATGTGTTTCATCTCCTAGGTCTTGAAAAACAAAAATCATTGCAAAAGGAAGACTTCTGCATTCACCCCCGAAGAGTCAAATCTCATGTGTTCTCGTTAAATAAAATATACTTCAGTCCATCCAGTTCAGCGACGTTAACATTTTCTTTTTCCTCTCGATTTCCTCTTTCGGGAGTCACCTGGGGAAACAAAGACTGAAATGAATAAATGGATTCAAACTGTTTGAAAATAAAACACTTTAATTCTTCTATATAACTAATATGCATTTACAGATAAAATTGTGCACTTAAAAAAGGCACTTGGCAGAGAAATGTATGTCCAGATTTCAAACATGACATCAGACTTAAAATGTTAAAAGTTGTTTTTTTGGTTGTGTTAAGTGCATTTGTGATTCATTCACATAGGATACAGTATCTTTAATCAAAGTCATCTAAACAGTTTCAAAAGTTCACAGGAAGCACACACTTGTTGGACTGTGTTAATAGGTTAATCAGTCCCAGCTGCAGAGTTGTGGAATGGACAAGAATATATGGGGAGTAGAGAGACAAAAGTGACAACTCTTATGAAATAACTCCACGATGACTACACAATGACTTCACAAACTGCAAGGCTGCTTTAGATCAGAAAAAGGTGGATGTTGTATAGCTCAAGTGCTGGTTCAAGAGGATTCACTTCTTAACATTAAAGTACCTTCAGTGTTAGTTTCCCCCCCCCCCCGGTCTGACAGACATTAGAATCACTTCAACACACAGTTTGCTGAATGCTGTTAGAGTTTGGCCTGACAACAACTGACTTGCCCAAGCATTGAAGAGAAAGCAAGAGTTAAAGCTGGACAACATAGACAAATGAAATCCAGTTAATCCAGTTAGACCAACAAATGATGCGTTATTTAGGACAAAGCTTTGACGGTGATTGAACTCATCAGGGTGATGTTCCTGCTTACACTTTGCCATCCCACCGTTTTTGACCTACCTCACTGCAACACACAGCCTTTTTTATGTCTAGTCTGTCCTTTCCCACTGTTACCTTGTGTTTCAGAATGAAAAACAGAATATTCAAACAGACTGGCCATAATTACATCCATGTAATATTCAATCTGCTATTCAAGGGCTTCACACTGCATCCAAACTTTTTAATAAAATGCACAACATGCTAAAATCATGCTTATAAATATGCACTTAAAAATATATAAAACGTTAAATGGAATAAAAACAAAACAAGTAAGGATTTTCCACTAAGACACATCAAATCATTAGCACTCCAAACGTGATCTTTATTGATGTATATGGATGGATTACCTGGATTACTCTTTTTGTTTCGTCTAAAGAAGCTTCCCTGTTTCTTTGGTTCGGGTCTAAGGGGTGCAGACACTGATTCAGAGACCGACGGCAGATCTTGGATATCTGACTCCAGTCCATCAGGGACGTCCCACCCCTCGTTGCTCTCACTGAGCGTGGTCACACTGCTCTTAGGGCCTGTATGTTCGTAGGTGATGATGTCATCTTGGTTGTGGGTTTCTATGATAATGTGTTCCTGCCTTGCTTTTCCTGCAGTCTCTTTTAAATGGCTTATTTTATCACTGGTTTGACTTTTCCCTTCTCCTCTTTTAGTGCTTTCACTACCCTCCGTCACACTGTCTGTTTTAGGTAAAGGACTTTCTTTGATTTGAAAATGAACACTTATGTCCACTGTCTCCTCAGGCGTCAACTTCTCCTGGCTGGATGTGCTGTCTAAAACAGCCTCTGTCTGGTCTGAATCAGAGAGGGAAGAAGGGCTGATGGCACTGGTCTCAGTTGAATCCAATGAAAAGCCATTTGTTGGAGGGGGACATGTTTGATGGTCTGCTTCAACCCGAGACTCAGGTTGTGTTATATCTAGCGGTGAAACTGCAGGTTCCTGTGAGTGTTGCGCCTCCAGCAGCAACATCGGACCTTTCAAGTGTGCCTGTGTTGCCATTGCTGGTTTTACTACTTGGGGTGTGCTGGGAACTGCAGCTACTCCGTCTTCCACCGCACTCTGTGGCGCTGGTGGAGTCTCTTCTGAAGGGCTGATGAAGCCGTTGACTTCGCCTGCGCTGGTATGGTGACCCTCTGTCTGAGGTTTGGTGGGAGCGGAAATGGAGGCGACTTCTTCTTCTACAGGCTTCACACTTGACCCTGGGGGGGGGGGGGGAAAGCAGGTGGTATTAATGCTCAAGTTAAACACATCAAGATCTTTATTAGCTTTGAAATGAGGAAATAATTCAGTGAGAGCAGGTGCATGAAAATAAAACGCTCTCAAAGGCAAAGTAAAAAGCATGTAGCAAGATAGCAAAAAACAAACAAAAAAAAACAGCCTATACAAAGCAGCAGGGCTGTGTTGTGGCTTGCAGTGAAACGGCTCAGGAGCGGAGCTAGAACTGCAGATGGAGGCCACAGTCTCTTGTCCTTACCAGACGGGCAGGTATCCCTACGCATTTCACTAGAAGGTAGGCTTTCCGAATCGCACCTTGGCCTGGTCTTTCTTAGGCTGAACCCTTTCCTGATATCCGCCAGGAGGTGGTCGACGATGCAGCCGTCGTCTTGAGGTATAAAGCCTTTCTTGACTGGTTAAAGAGAGGTTTAAAAAAAAAAAAGAAGGTTTTAAACACATGCAATTCAAGTGACATCTCACTCATTTAATCAGTCTTTGAGCTGCAACATTTCTTTCACATTGGAAGAAAAGGACGGCTGTTCACAGCGTACTTATTTTTCCGTTCTCTCCCTTCTGTCTCTTGGACTCTTCCTCTGCCAGCTGCTTCTTTCTCTTCTCTGCCTTGGCCGCCAGCTCTCTTCTTGTTTTGTTTTCCTGTTATCATGAAAGTCAGGATGTCACTCACTGCCAAGTACAAAATGTCCTTAGCAATTTGTCTTTGTATCATTGGGGCCGAGACTTGTGCATCTCCAAGCTTTCCCATAGAATCATGCTTTCAATGTTGCAAAAAAACACTGCCAACATACCCAACCAGTGGACTTCACATCATTACAGCATCTCAAATAGCACAGCATGACTCTTCATTAGTCGTTGCATTTTCAAAAAATCCAGTGCACAAGACTCTGCAAATACATCATCAGAATGTGTGGATAAATACTAACCTTCATTGATTTGATGAAAAGTCCTCGGAAAGTCCTGATGGTTCCAAAGAGTTCTTCAAGCGACAGCTGATTGGCGTCTTCACACAAGTAGTTAGCCAGCTCACTCTTCTTCTTCTCTAAAGCAGTGAACCTTTCAGTTAGGGCTTGAAACATCTCGGCGCTTTCCTGCAGCACAGAAAAAGAAAAAAAAAAATTGGGGATTTGGATCACACTTTCAAACAGCACTGAGTCATGAAGAGTTGGCTCAGGTTTAAAGGCAAAGCAGGGTGTATCATCATCTTACCTCAAGGACTTTGGCATACTGCTCCTTCACATCGTCGACAGAGTTGGAGACCTTCTTAGCCGTATCGTTCAGTCGCTTTAGTAAGGCACTGGCTTCTGACTGAATAGAGTCCAGATTAACTCTGAGGACAGAGTGTAAAACCGTTTTCTTATCTGTTGCTTAAAGATCCACTTAGGACCAACTTAAAAAAAAAAAAACACTAAACATGAGTTAAAGTACAAATTAAAGGTTTCTTTACCCTGCTGCTTTTTCACAGATTTCTAGATCATCCGGCAGATCAAGCAGCTCCGGGTGGTTCACTTCTGCTTCCTTTGCAAAATCAAACCACAGTGTATAATTAAGCAGGTTCATAAACGAGGAGGGGGGGGGGGGGGAGAAAAGAAATGATGGCAGCTGTGAGCCAGTTAGTGTACCTCCAGGATGTGATGAAGCAGCGTAATGCGGCTCTTGTTGGCCTTGGTCTCTGTAAGCTTGAGCAGAGAGCTGATCTTGAACCCCTCTGCGTTCCCTGTGTGACTTCCCTGAAAAAGTAGAACGACAATTAAAAATGCAAGCTCTTTTTAAAATGTCAGCTTCAGTGAAATATAGATGAGACTTAAGAAGGCGCGTACGTAGTTGAGAAAATTTCCAACGTCGAGAATGTGTCTGCAGAGACTAGGAATGAGCGTGCTCTCTCTGAGGGCTGAGAGAACAGTTGCATGGATTTACTTGATGATGATTGATAAAAATCTTCGGCTTCATCGTTTGGCTGCATGTATGTGAATAACGCGAGAGTCTAGGGTTCACTTACACTGGCAAGCCTCCTCCACCAGCTTGACTCGAGGTTTTAGCATCTCCAACACTGATGAGGTCTCCTCGCACAGCAACATGCAATCGATCCTCAACTGATAACTGGGGAGGCAGGGCAGAAATCAAAGGAATTAAGGAGCCAAGTAGGCCAGTATCGACTGCTCTGAAAATATAATGCATGCACATACTTAAACCAGCACTTAAGAAAAGTTACCATGGCACCGTGAGAAGGCAGGTGTAAAAGCGATCAACATTTGCCAGCTTCTCTTTTTCTCCTTGGAATGATTTCAAGTTTTCTATCTACATTAAAAAACAAACAAAACAGTGAGTCATACATTTGCCATTTTGAAGTGGGCCCTTAATGGCAGCTACACGAGCAGAAAAAAATAAGTAAAAAGGAAAATGGATGATGAGGTTATAAAAAGTACAGACCTCATGCTTCTCTGGTAGGAGCTTCAGAAGCTGTTTTAGCACCTCTACATCAAACCTAGAACGGTCCCCTTTCTGAATCATGGATACAAAGTCCTCGTTTTTGCTAGACAGATACCAAGACAAACAGTCAGCTTGGAGATAAACCAAATCATATTTAAATCATAAGAGAATGTTTAATATCTCACCATTTAAACTGCTTTAGGAAAATGTTTAGATTCAAGTTTTTCTTTGGATCAATAAATGTAATCTGAAAAAAGAGAAGATGTTTTTTTTAGGTGGCATATTGATTATTCAGCATTGATAATCAGGCGTTTGTTGTTCTGGGGGCTACAGCTCTGAGGAGCTGTGTTGAGTGTTGACCAAGCGCACCTCTTTAGGCTCCTTCTTGACAGGAGCAGCTGCCCCCTTGTCTTTGTGCTCAGTCACTGGGAGACAGAACAGCTGCTCGATACTGCTGTAGTCCGGCTCATGAGGAGGAGGCTCTTTCTGAACCGAGGCCCACATGGAGGGACCATCTGTGTGTGTGCAGGAAGAGAGGAACCCGTCATGAACCCATGTGGCTCTATTTTGTATCTTAAACTAATCTAAAACTAATGCTTCCCCCGCTCTTATATCTAAAGGAAAACAGCATCATCAAATAACATCCAAAAGTATACAAAGGTGTGTTCAGTTCCCCCCCAAGTAAGATGGATGTTCACAACAATGTGCATTCAGCTTTTAGGAGAAAAATGTAAGATTGTGATTATGTAAGCCTTCCCCAAAATGTTTATTTTCCCCCTTACCTGTTACTGCTCGGAGTTTCTGCCAGTTGAGCTTTTTCATCCTCAGGGTTGGGCATCGGTTTGCCTTTACGGGCGGAGCACATCCCAGCATCTGACTGCTCTGAGCCACTATCATGCCTGGGGGAGGAGGGGGTGGTGGTGGCATCCCAGGCAAGGGAGGTGGCGGTGGCGGTCCGCCACCCATTACTGGCAGAGGTGGCGGAGGTGGTGGGGGAGCCATGCCAAGACCAAAGGGCGGCAGCGGCGGTGGTGGGGCGGTGGTGCCATTCCAGGTAAAGGAGGAGGTGGTGGAGGTCCACCAAACCCTCCAGGCAGCGGTGGAGGAGGAGGGGGTGGGGGTGGAGGAGGTGGAGGAGGTGCGGACCCAGTTAAACCAGAGGGTGGGAGTGGAGGGGGAGGCGGCGGCGGCGGTAAGGCACACAGCGGCTTCTGAGAAGATGTGATGATCGTGTCGTCCTGCTGATCTGTATCGGTCTGAACAGCTTTATCCACCTTCACGCGCTGCCCGTCCACCTCATGGTGACCCGCACAGCTGTTCCCTTTAGAGAACATCAGCCGCTGCATGATCTTCTCACAGGACTCCATCTGAGCTGGACACACACACACACACACACACACAGAAAACTACTTAAGTTGCCATGTCACCAAATGCTTCATATTCATCCTGAGGTTATCTTAAAGGCTGTGTGGCTAATCTCTCCTCTTTACACATTAATCATTGAGGAGGCCATTAGCTAGCCATTAGCCTCATCAGAGCGTTGACCTAAAGTGAAAGCATTGTTGCTTCACTGTTCACTCACAGTCCTGGGCCAGCAGTGTGGCTCTGTTAGTGATGGCCTCCAGAGCCAGCCAGATATCCGAGTGACCCGGCCCCAGCACTAACAACGTCTGCAGGATGGACAGCAGCTGCAGAGAGGCTGGAGAGCTGCTCACCTGCACACAGCAACACATGCATATTCACAAACTATAGGGGCTTTTCCTGGTCAACATTCTTCTTAAGACACGGACAACTTAAGAATAGAATTGTTTCAAGACGAAAGCCAATGAGCGGCACCTTGTTAAAGAGTGTCGTGAAAACCTCCAGGTGATTGCTCATGTCGATGCCCCCGTACACACGCAGCAGCTCTTCTTCATCCTCAGCCATTGCCTCTTCAAAAGCTTCACATTGAATGATCAAATCTTCATCCTCCTGCTCTCTGGAAATCCACACACAAAGCCGCAACACTAACTCATTCAAATGCCATTTTGAGTTCTCAGAAAGCGACGATGAATCACTCCATAATTGATGCAAATTGCAAATGTCTTTCATAACGGCACCATTTTGCTTTAAGTGATAATGAACTTTAAAAGTAACCTTTAAAAAGAGTCTTCGTTGCATTAAACATTTCTCTTTTTTTTTTATGATTAAAGTCTCTCAAAATGAAATGTGAGCAACAGAAGGAGGTCTCACCTTAACTTTGGCAGAATATCAAGAAGCTGGAGTCCTGCAAGACAATTAAACACAAAGTATGACAACCAAACACAATTATCAGCTTTTAAGAAAAGTTTATCTGCCAAAGTTGTCACACGTCTCTCCTTCACAGTGGTGTGTGTTAGTTTTTTTTGGGGGGGAAAGGGCAAAGAGTCACAGGTGAGCAATTACAAAAGAGGAGTGGCTGAACAAATAGCTGATTGGTCCTTGGTGGTGGTTGGCATTTCAGGTGTGATGACCACCTGACTTTGTTAGTGCTCCTCCTCCTGAGCTTCTCATGTCTCTTATTTTTCGTTTCCTCGATCCTCGCTTGAACCGGAAATCTTTGCGTGCCGCCATGTTAATGGACGTCTCAAGTCTCTTTATCCGGCACCGAGGAGCGAGGATGGAGGAAACAACTCTGACTCTGTGTCTCTTCCCACTCAGGGTGCCTTCAGTTAGAGAGGGGCGGAGCCAGTTAATTTGATCTCATGCACCTCAGCAGGCTGGGCCTTGGTAGTTAAGCTGGCTTCTCTCTCTCTCTCTCTCTCTCTCTCTCTCTCTCTTGCTGTTATCAACTTTGGTTTGTTGTGTTTGTTTTTCCTCCACAACAACACACACACATTCACCATTGCAATAACCACAGATATACAGACTGCATTTTCTTGTATTAGAATGTTTTGCTTTAGTTTCCAATACATTATCATTGAAGTTATTTTAAAACTGTGTGGTCTCCCTCTTTGTCCAGCTCACTGAGCCCGGGCTGTGACACAGGGAACATAGGAGGGTTTATATAGATGCAACTATTACAATACTTTATACTTTATTTCTGGGCTTTTTTTTGCCTTCAGTTGAGGGATAGGACAGTGGATAGAGCTGGAAATAAGGGAGAGAGAGTGGGGAATGACATGCGGGAAAGGAGACTCAAACTTGGGCCTTGAGGACTATAGCCTCCATACATGGGGCGCGCGCACCAACCAATGGGCCACCAGCGCCCCCACAATACTTGTAAATAGTCCCAATTCTGCTGATTTTTCACTGATGCCTCGTGGGAAGTTTATGTCTGTGTGTTTATGAACTGTATGCTAAAGGTTAATCCTGTTTTGATCTTGTTTATGCTTGGGAAGACTTCACAGGCAACATGCATCTACAGAAGAAAACATCTCATACAAATTCTATATGGTAAGTGGAATTTCTTAAAATTTGAAAGTGATTACATCAAAAAACTTGTATACTGAATAATTATAATGTTAAATTTAAGAATACACAATGCTTTATCCATTTGAGGATTGCTGAGTTTCTCAGGCGTTTTGTCGATGTGAGAATTAGGTCATTATTCTTATTCTTAGACGGACCCAGTGACAGAGATATTTGTGAAGAGCTACAGCTGACGTCCTGCTTTCTCCTCTCAACGCTCACTTTCAGCTGATTTGGGCGGGAAAACCGTTAACCACAAAGTGACCTTGCTCTTGATGCAACTCTAAGACTCCTCATGAATTGTTAAATAGCAGCCGAATAGAGAACCTACCGATAAACTCCTTCCTCATCCTATCTCTCTGCCGGAGGTTATCCGTCCCAAAGATGATGGCGTTGATGACACTGAGGAGCGTGACCATGTAAGGGACGTTGTCTGTGGCCTGCAGCTCATTCATGATCACACTGAAACGATACTGCCGAGTCTTCACGCCCTGAAGGGGAAATCAAAGTCAGTGCAAGAGAATGAGTAATTCTACTGATTCATAAAACCTGTGCATGCAATCCACCACTAGAGGGCATCGTAGGGTCATGTGAAGTAAATCCTAACACAGCTCAACTTTTCAAAAACAGATGCTACAAGTGTGACTCTTCCACACTTGCCTTGTAGTGGTCCAGGGCGTCCAGCGCCAGGCGATGGCCTTCTGCAGAGAACATGCTGAGGGCGGCGAGCAGCTCAAACACTTGCTTCTTCACCATGATATTGGAAGTGTCCAAAGCTGTGGAGCATCAGGATCACACACATTAATACATGTCGCAAGCTCATAATTACTATTACGCTTTGTTTCACAGCCTTTAAGGTTGAACTTTGCCTTCTAAGGAATTGACGTTGTACTTAAGATAAAAAAAGTGTTGGAAAATCCATAATGAACACACAGCGTGACACTACATTTATAGGGATGTCGTGAAGCGCCCTGAAATGACTCATCTTTGTATATAAAAGCTGAAAACATGTCTTAAAGATTAAGGTCGCATAGTGAATCAGATTAACTATTTCATCCCCAAATTATGACTAGTTTAGCCAAACATTACAGATGTTACACATTATGTTCAAAAAGTGGTGCCTCAAGTCTTTCAGCTTTCTTTAAATTGAACAGGGTTTAAATATCTTCATCAGACTCTATTGCATAATTCAAATGTTTTTTTTCTTTTATTGCATGAGGCTTCTCTGAGTCAAAATCATGTGATGTGTTTATAAAGAATGTGATGAACCTTGTGAGAGCTTCCGAATGTATCCTTCATTGTCTATGATGAAGTGGATCCCTGCAGATGAGTTCATGACTGCCCGCACGCAGTTGACGCAGGTGAGCTGCAAGAGAGCGTCTGCAATACGAGAGCATCCCCGCCCCGAGAGCCGGTCCAGAGCTTCCAGGAGGAGATCCAACCCGCTCAGCTCCAGAAACTGCACCATCCACGTCTGATCGCTGCCCTCCAGGCGGCGCTTCAGCCCCGAGTAGTTGACCACAGTGGGGACCTGCAGCAGCCTGATGCAGAGCTCTGGATCGGCGCTCTCCAGGTTGGCCTCCTGCTGGGTATCCGAGTCCTGTGAGGAGCCCAGGCGGCCCCTGACTGCCGCCCACTTCTTCTTTCCATCCGACTTCCCCGACATGATGGCTGCGGAGGAAAGACGTGAAGCAGTGTTTAGTCGGTGTTTAGTCAGTGTTTATGTGCGCAGGCCATTCTCAGCTATTTCTCAAAAAAAAAAAATCAGCTTGTCTTTCGCCTACAGATGGTTTCTGTTTGCATAGATGTCCAACGATTTTTTTGCCCAGTGTACAGTGTAATCGTTGCTATCCAGACCAGAGGAAACAAGCCAACATGACGCCTTATCAGAAATGAAACGGAAAAAGAATAGGAAATGATAGCTCTGCACTTTTATGTCAGCAGTCCAGCCATCGCCCGCCCTGCCAAACATTCCTACTTAATCCTGCCTGAAAGAGAAGAGACTCTCAGTCAGCTCAACCAAACGGACAAAGCTGAGCTCAGTGGTGTCTGGGCAGTGCCTGCTACTGCAATAAACAATGAGAACAGAAGTATTTTTTAATGGGATAAAATAGATTTTAAAAAATTAAAAAATTAAAAAAACTGCACAAGGTACTACATAGAAAAAACACTGTGGGAAGAAAATGTCACAATCCTCATACCAACATATCTGACATTGACCTGAATGCTTACATTGATCTCACAAGAGCCTTGAGTTTTCTGGCATGGCCCCAGAGCACAGTGGCCCCATTTAACCTAACTCTCACCTCTTAGCTTCTGAAAAAGATCCACAGCAATTCATGAGAGCAATTCATGAGAGCAGTATAAACACGTTCCCACACGCTAATAGAATCAACAGGATAAGGCTTTCGGACCAAAAAAGGGGAAAACTTTCTGCATAACTCTCAAAATACTTCCTGCTACGGAGTTTTTTATATTAAGTGGTCCGGGATAAATGAACAATGTGAGTCGTTCTTTTGTCTCCTGTGGTTGATTTCGATTTTGGCAAAGAAAAGATATACAAAATGAGACATGAAGGTATGAGCATGCCCAAACAGAATGCTCGAGATAAAGATCACTAAGTGAGCCCGGCTGGAAGGAATTATAAATTTTTACAATTCTTGTAAAAATCTATAATTGGCTTGTTGCTGCTTGTTCAGTAAACTACACACAGTTACAGGCAGCTTTTGCAAATGTCTTGCATGTATCTCTTTTCAAGGAAATAAATGAATAAAAATAGCAGAGAAAAGAAGTAATAACTTGTGAAAAAATCCAACAAATTGGATTTCTATTCACTCAGTCGAGTCAAGGTGAAGCGTTTTTTTTCTTTTCTCACATTTTCTGGTGAGGCATTCGTCAGCTCTGACTGCAGCATTTAGTGCCGCTGCCAGTGCGAGAGTGTTACCGTGGCAGCAAGCAGCCTGACAATGGTGTTTCACAATAGGCCTTCTCAATAGTCATCAAAGAGCTCTGTTCATTAGCCTCAAAATGGGTGGAATGCTCCCTGCCCCATTTGGGGTTATGAAATATATGCCCGTTCACTGTTTAGACACTTTCTGTTTGTGGCACAAGATCATGTTTTATAGGCTCAAAGTGAGAAGGGAACAAAAGTTGCAAGTTCATGCTTGTAATCTGGAGAATTTCCAGGGTCATGAAAATATGTGAAATAGATTCACTTCCCACAAAAAAAAACATGACTCACAAACATCTCAGGAAATTCTGCTTGTGTTTTTTTTGTGTGTGTCAGTATCATGCAGACACAACCCAGCAAGTCTCAGGAACTTTTCACTAGGAAGGGAGGGTTTCCCGGGACAGGAAACATGGCTCATGATAAACATGCTGGTGTGACAGCTTGTGTTCCTCTTTTGCAATTCCATTTTAATTCCTAAAGGTTGGTTTGACCAAAAGAAATTTGGTACTTTCCGTGCATGTGTAAACATTTTGGCTGCAGGTTGTGCAACGTCAAGGATCATGGACAAAACATTTACTTATTCTTTTTTTTTTTTTTGTGCACTCCTCCAAATAAAAACAACTCTCACTTACAGACCTTGTCTACCAGATCTCCCACATGTACCTCTAATAGCAGGCTGATTCACTGTGCACAGGACCAGCCTACTCATCTGTCCTCTGGTTAGGCCGCCCACACAGCAGCCCACTGCTACTGGACAACATCAACACTTATGAGCATGCAGAAACAGCTCCACGGATTTATTTCCTCAGAGACATATGCATCAGCTTATGCACTGTAGTTTTTTCGAGGAATCGTCTGTGTATTTTCATCAATAACTAATGAGTGCACAAACTAATAGATTTAGGGTGAGTGGATTAAATCTCGCACAGCACTGTCACTGCACATTTTTCTCATCTGGTTTTCCCTCCACAGAAATACCAGCTATAATGACATGAATGATGGTTTAAACAATTAGATTTGAGCTTGTTAGCACTGAAATTATAATAATGATGATTTATGGTTCAAACACATGTTAACAAACTGAACATATGTTCCATGCATAGCCTATTGTGTGCTTATGGATTAAACCTGTATCCAAAATCTTTTCACAGCATGTGCTTAATGATAATAACAACAGAGAACATCTGGTAGACATTAAACTGATATCTAAACCTCCTCTCCTCTCCTCCCCTTAATGCTATTTAAGGGAGTGACCGACAAAAGTCCACAAGCGCATTTCTGGAGTTGAAATGTTGAAATGTTTTTTTTTTTTGTATAGTTTAGTTTCCTTTATGTCCAGACTGTCTGGTGGTTTCTTGAACCTCTGTGGAGACAGAGTTAACACCAGCACACATTGAAACAAGTGACAGCCCACATGGCCCAAACACCAGCCTTAAAACTGCACCCACAGTTCAAGTCAAATTTACCAACGCTGTTCCCCCCACCCCCTTCCCATGGCAGCCTTCTTCCTCTTCATTTTTCCAGACGAAAGTAGATTTCCAGGGAGCATTCGATCACCATCCTCAGGATAGCAACACACAAGACTGTCAAACTAGAATACAATTGAGATTCTCAATCTGCGTTATGCACTAGTGAATTAGGAAAAAAAAAAAAAAGAGGGAACTGAAACAGCGACATTTACATCATTACTTTGCCTCCACATAGCAGGGGACATAACGGGACTGGTCACCTTATTGTCTTGAGTAAAGACAGCGGGGGAAGGAAGTCTTAAAGCTATACACTTTGGCAAATCGTCTCATCCTTACGACACTGTTGCATTAATACAGATAATAACAGACTGATTGAGGTAGGCTACCTTACCTGTTTTTATTCCATAAATATGCACTTGAAGAATCGCGTCCTCTGGTCTATTTCAGGAGGATGATTTCTTTTCAGTCATCCAGGCAACATCTTCTTTACCCCAAAAATAAAACATGTAGCCTGCACTCTGAGAATTTCTGCACTGTGCTGCAGGTCAAGCCTTGTGTGGTATGCGGATGGCACTGCTTTCAAACCATTACGGCTCCTGGGTTTTTCACTCACTTGTGACTGGCAATGCCAAGATAAACCTTTTTGAGCAGAGACATCCTGTCAATCCTTTCAAAATAAAACATGGGCGCAGAACTGGCTTCTACAGAAAAACCTTTGAGTCTGGACTCCGTAGCCTACAGTTACGGGGGGGATACATGGGGAATCAAAATGTGTGATTAAAATAGATGAAAAACAGATTTAATACACTAGACTTTATGTTTTCCCCCGCCATAGTTCCAGATGGCAACACAAGTAGCCTATCTTTGGCTAAAGAAAATTATTCCCTATAGTTACGCTACAGCAATTGGACAATTTATTAACCAAACATAAAAAGTCCACAATTAATTAAAACATAAAATGTACAGTTTACCGTGTTAAATATATGGCTAAACTACATATCCTTACCAACACACTTAGTAGAAAGTGAGGTGACTTGCCTTTGTGAAATGTCCAGACCAGGGTGTTGAACTTTAACTGTCAAGTAATTTGGAGCTCACTCGTCGCCTAGCAACAGCTTACTGATTGTAAATTATCTGCTTTTGGGAAACTAAAGATTTATTGTCAAATCCTATCAATCATTTTTCATTGAATAAAGTTCTCTATACTAATAGCAGTTTCTATGAAAAACGTTTAGCTTTGAAGGTATCATTGTTGTATTTCCGCCCTTCACTGCTCTGCCGTTGTCTGGCTTGTGATGCTGAACGCAGCCAGCGGTCGGGCCCTCCTCCGCCAGTCCCCATCCCATTTAGACGGTCCGACCTCGGGCGGGCAGTCGCTGATGGAGGCAAATTAACTTGAGCTCCCTGATCATCTGGACAGAAAAATCTACCTGACACCGTCACAGAATCTATTATACTCTTGAGTTAATGAGATGTTATCTGAAAACTGACACTGTGTCCAGCTTTCAGTGGGCATGTTTCTGACATGGGTCTGACTTGGTGTAGGCTTATTGCAACATAGCCTACTCTTAACATTTTTGTGCTGTTGGGCTTTCAGTCATTGCCTTCATGGTAGCCTACTTGATCAGTAGGCTTACCATCTGTAGGCTGTAAGCTATAACTAGACTAATTTAAGCCATAACGGAAATCCACATCCAATTTTCCTTCACTGTTCAGGGTCCAGATGGAATTTTAAAAGACCAACTTCATAAGTCTAATCTTTTCTCTGAGTTGTTTACAAAGCCGTGGATCAAATGTATGGGCCTATATGTAGCCTGTAGCCTACCTACAAAGCACAGAGATAATAATTCAGAATGTTCATGTAGGCTAAATCAAAACAATGAAAGACCACAAAGCTTATGCATTGATAGCCACCTTCAGTTTATTTGCATTTCTACTTGAAGACAAGATAAGATGATGCGAATTTGCAATGCACCTGTTATCATTCCCCTTGAGACCTGAAGCTATTTGGCTTTCTATAGTGTCACTTCTCTAGCCATAGGCTACTGTAATTGTCTTGTTCTGCTACTTTAGGTCCCCTGAGCCAAAGTGTCATCACCATAAGATATTTTGTTAGTCTGCAGGAAACAGAGGCTTTAATCAGAGGGACCGCCGAGAAATCAGCAGCAAGGAAAGCTGCATCTCCACCATGTTATAGGTTTATTGACAATAATAATAACACATAAGACCTATTGAAAAGCTACTGAGTAGCCTTCACATTATAGCTCATCATATTCCACAACTCTTTAGCTGAGCTTTAGTTCAACAGGATCATGAAAACGATTAGATTCCTGTTTAAGTGAAAGTCAACACCATTGTCAAATTTCATTGAACGTTATAGGTGCACTTGTACACAACCAGGGATTTTAAAGAACGATATTGGCCACAAATCTTGGGCGGGATTTTCACAAAAATCCAACCTTAAAATAGTCTGAATCCGAAACTGCCAGCAGAACAAGCTCTGATCTGAAAACTAGGAAGGTCTTGTCAGCTAGGTGGTTGAATCGAAAGATGCTTTGAGTAGATATTGATAATGGGTCGTTGTCAGGCTTTGTTTGGACTGAGCACCTAAATTTCATTCTCTGAGCATCAACAGGAGGGGCAGTTGACGCATGTCACACCCTCTCGTTGATTGCAAGCTGACAATCTGAGGCGGGATTTTCACGAAAATCCTATTTTAGAAGAGTCTGAATCCGAAACTGCCAGCAGAACAAGCTCTGATCTGAAAACGCTTCAGCGTGGCCACAGAGCCCGGGCATCCACGACTACTGCTTTGCCTATTTCCTCTGTCATTCATGGGAACAGGAAAAGACACATTTGTCATAGACAATGAAACCTTAACAACGTGTCTCTGCTTAAGAAAGCCTCTTCTACCCACCCTTCATTTACTTTTGGCCTCTGGAACTGTCAATCTGCTGTGAATAAAACTGAATTCATCCAAGCACTTGCAAAAATGTCAGATATTCAGGTACTTGCCCTTACTGAAACCTGGATCCACCCAGAAAATACAGTCACACCAGCTGCTCTTTCTGTTGACACAGTGTTCTCACACACACCCCGCTCTGTTGGACGTGGAGGTGGTACAGGTATCTTCATTTCTAATACCTGGAAATTCAATAAACTCTTCCCACTGAGCAACAACGCCTCATTTGAATATCACACAATCTTGGTTACTGCTCCTATTAAAATGTACATGGCTATCATTTACCGCCCCCCAGGGTGTAATCTGAATGATTTTGTTGTGGAACTGGACATGCTACTCTCAGAAATCCCTGATGATGGAACACCACTGATTGTAATGAGAGAAATGAATATATACACTGATAAAGCCCAGGCAACAGACTTCCTTGCTCTCCTATCCTCATTTGACCTCGCGCAAGTCATAAGAAGTGAAGTCATAAGAGAACAAGAGCAGGGCTAAGGTCAGCAGAGAGAAAATGGCAAAAATCCAAACAGTCCGCTGACCTCAATGACTATAGGCAAAGACTTGTCTCATTCTCCTCCAGCCTGAAAACGGCCAAGACAACATATTATCAGAACAAGATATGCAATGCCACAGATACAAGACAAATGTTTTCTGCTTTCAACTCACTGCTTCAACCACCTCCTCCTCCACCCACCGATCTGTTCACACCAGACATGTTTGCCTTGTATTGTACTGAAAAGGTTGCAACCATCAGTAACCAGTTTTCTGAGCCTGACCAACTCAGCCCAAAGGCACCAACCAAAAGTGCCTCACTCGACTCATTCTCCCCTCTGACTGAGGATGAAGTCTCTAAGCTTGTGCTAGACTCTCGGCCCACCACCTTACCTCTGGACCCAATACCATCAAGCCTCCTGCAGCACATTACCTCTCCGCTTAATGATGCACTTAAGCATATCATCAACTCCTCTCTGTCAATGGGTGTGTTCCCCACCGCATTCAAGCAAGCTCGGGACACCCCTCTGCTCAAAAATCCCACACTAAACCCAGCCCAGGTTGAAAACTACAGGCCGGTTTGTCTTCTGCCCTTTCTGTCAAAAATACTTGATCGCACAGTCTTTAAGCAAGTCTCTGAGTTCCTGCCCAGAAACGATCTGTTTGACCCAAATCAGTCAGGCTTTAAGCGGGGTCACTCTACTGAAACTGCAATACTGTCAGTAACAGAATCACTACGAGCTGCCAGAGCTGTGGGTCAGTCATCAGTTCTATTACTGCTAGACCTGTCTGCTGTCTTTGACACAGTCAACCATCAAATCCTCCTATCCACGCTCTCTGAACTTGGCATCTCAGGATCTACCCTCTGCTGGTTCGTGTCCTACCTCTCTGGGCGATCCTTTAGAGTGTCGTGGAAGGGAGAAGTGTCCAAAGCGCACAGCTTATCCACAGGGGTACCTCAAGGGTCAGTGCTTGGTCCCCTTCTCTTCTCCATATACACAAGCTCACTTGGTTCAATAATCCGCTCTCATGGCTTCTCATACCACTGCTATGCTGATGATACCCAGCTCTTCCTGTCATTCCCGCCAGACGATGTTGCAGTCTCTGCAAGAATCTCGTCATGCCTTGCTGATATCTCTAAATGGATGAATGAACGCCACCTTCAACTCAGTCTTTCAAAGACTGAGCTCCTTGTCATCCCAGCCAGTCCCTCTATGCAACCACAGATCAATATCCAGCTTGGAACAACCAAACTCATGCCCACAAAGTCTGCCCGGAACCTGGGTGTCATGATTGATGACCAGCTAACTTTTAAGGTTCAAGTAACCTTGATTGCCCGGTCATGTCGATTTGCCCTGTACAACATCAGGAAGATCAGACCTTACCTGTCAGAACATGCTACACAGCTCCTGGTACAGGCTGTTGTGATATCACACATCGACTATTGCAACTCTCTACCGGATGGTCTTCCTACATGCACTATCAAACCCCTGCAAATGATACAAAATGCAGCAGCATGACTGGTCTTCAACCTTCCTAAAAGAGCACGTCACTCCGCTGTTCATCTCCTTATACGGGCTCCCAGTTACTGCTCGTCTCAAATTTAAAACTCTGCTGCTCGCTAACAAAACAGCGACAAAAACGGCTCCTCCTTACTTTAACTCTCTCATCCAGGTCTACACTCCCTCCCGCCCACTACGCTCTGCCAATGAAAGGCGCCTGATCCAACCTTCACAACAGGGTCCTAAGACACTGACTAGACTCTTCTCCTCTGTTGCCCCCCAGTGGTGGAATGAACTTCCAAACTCCATTCGATCTGCAGAGTCCCTCTGCACCTTTAAGAAAAAGCTAAAGACCCAGCTTTTTCATGAATACCTACTAACTTAATGATGATGGTCTCAATATTATTGATGATGATGATGGTAATGACGATGGTTTTTGTTTGATAAACGACGACTTATAAGATGGTTTCTATACTGATTAGAGCTCTCAAGAACTGCCGTCAATGTTGTGCTTTGCCTCTGTGCAATGCCTGTCAGCACCTGTATTTCCAATCAGACTCAAAGCTGATCGTTTGCTCTTACTGACATTGTTCCCTTTTTTCTAGATCCTTGCTTGTGTTGTACTTACTCTCTGATGTACGTCGCTTTGGA